CAAAAAGTCAAAAAAAATTTTTTGGCCGAAAGTTTGCCTATAGGGGTAATCGATGGTCCTGATCACGATTCTGACACTTATTCTTGACGTCAACGCAATCTGGCGTCAGAATGGCCCTGAAATCCCTCAAATGAGTGTACATAGCGACTCCAGTGGGAGAAAGAAGTGGCTCCAAAAGGGCGATAAATGGCACTACAGCTGAAAGTAAATGCCATAGTCGTGATCAGGGCACTGAATAACATATAAAGATCAACTTTCGGAAAAGTTCTTGCCTAATGGTATGTGAAAATCGGAAATTGTTGAATAGCACCAATTAATGGAGCATAACTATTTAGAATGTGCCTATAAATGGCAGAAATCCGAGTGCAAATTCATGAACAGACATATATGGAAGGAACAACAGCGGAACATACAAAATGCAAAGAACTCGCAAGCCGAGGGAGTCGAACCATCAACCCCCACCCTCACTGTCCGATTGAGAACCCTCCGTACATATAAGCAACAGGGAGTTTCTCGAGGAGCATGACTTTTGCTGCGAGTCATCTGCATGCTATTCTGGTAGAGCTATTAGGCTGAGGCTGCGTTTATACTTTGCGGCAGCGTAGCGTAGCGCTTCCAGCGTACGCCAGCGGCAGTGTCGGGGAAAGGATAGATATCGATCTAGCGTTCCCAGCGTCACCAGCGCACGCTGGCGTAGCGAGGGCACGGGAAGCATAGCTATCGATCTAGCTTCACCAGCGTTTCTCCAGCGTTTTCCCAGCGCTTGCAGCGACGGGGCTAGAGAGGGGCTAGAGAGTATTGAAGGGAGGAGAGTATTTTGTACTCTCCTACTTTCAATACTCTCTAGCCCCGCTAGCGCTTGCAGCGACCGTCTCAGGGCAGTTGTCAACCGAGGAAGTCTCTCTTCTCTTTCCTTTTTTCTTCCTCCTTCCTTCTTTTCCTTCCTTCCTTCTCTGATCCCTCCTCCTTTACCTTCTCCCTTCAACTACTGGACTGGTAGATGCCTCGTGAAAATACCCCTGGACCCTCGCAGCGAGAGCACGTCTGGTTGACATGTGCCCCGTAACAGGCTAGAGAGTATTGAAAGTAGGAGAGTACAAAATACTCTCCTACCTTCAATACTCTCTAGCCCCTCTCTAGCCCCGTCGCTGCAAGCGCTGGGAAAACGCTGGAGAAACGCTGGTGAAGCTAGATCGATAGCTATGCTTCCCGTGTCCTCGCTACGCCTGGTGACGCTAGGGAACGCTAGATCGATATCTATCCTTTCCTCGACACTGCCGCTGTGTCTTGGTACCCGCTTGGAAGCTGCTAAGCTGGCAAGCTGTCTCGAACAATTAGTAATAAACGCCACTTATTTGAAAGTTCGCATTACCCTGCCCAGGCAATGAAGAACAAATGACACCACCGGTTCTCATCTGCTTCTTCCGCATCTACTTTATCAACGCCAAATGCCCTATGCCTTATTGTCTTCTTGGCGACCGCAAAAACTCACAGAATCCAAGACCAACCACCACACAAGAATAATAACCTCTGCGCGAACGACGAGCACAAGGGCCAGCGTCGGTAGCCGCCTCCATCCCCGTCCCCGCCCCAATACGCTATACGAAATACGAAAGCTGGACAGCGGTACGAAGACTGCAAAACTGGTGACTGGCCTCGTGTATAAGAAGTTAGCAATAAAGTCGCGTTATATGAGTTTATGTTGCACCTGGAACAGTCGAGTGCGCGCTAGTTTTGATTACTCTACAGAAAAACTGCAGCACTACGTAGCGAAATCTCAAGCACCATTTCGACTCCAAGTAGAGTAACGGAATAGAAGTTTGTCGCCGAAGATAGCCGCGCTCCTATGAGAGCCTTCGAACGGGTGGGGAAGCTATTCAAAGAGGCTACCTCGGCTTCGTTTAGATAGCATCGGCAATTGATATGACGCCAAAGTACTGTGCCGAGGCAACTAGCTAGAAATGATAGCTGGCACGCGACGTGACTAGAAGAACTAAAATGCCAAACGAACATTTCACATCAGCGAGGGGCGAACGGTCGCGTCGACGGTCACTGCACTACTTCCAGAAGGTGTTAATGAAGGCGATTTTACATAGAACAATAGAAGTTTGAAACATGCGAGTGCTTTGGGATTAATATTTAGAAGCAGTTGAGTGAAGGATTCTTACATAGAAATTAGAAGTTTGAAACATGCAGTGGCTTATTGATATTGCTGAAAGGTGAAAGCAGGCGTTTTCATCATGAAAATTGGAAGTGAACCCATTCAGTGCTTGATATCTTTGAAGGTGAATGAGTAGTCTCGAATATGTTCCTTTCTCAGTTCGCAGACCGTTCATGGAGTCACTTAGACATGCGATACAATCATAGACCACTCACGTAGCCATTAAATAAGGAGCGTACACGGATTTTACAGCCCCTGTCGTACGGAACCTCATGTCGGTTTTTTTTTTCTGAGTTTTTAGAATCTTCATACATGGGCAAAAACAATAAATTTCTCGAGACGTAAAACTAGTGCGACAGGGTTAATGGGTACTTCAGAAGGGTGAAGTGCTGGCAAAGGAGGTGCGTGGCAGTTTACCTTAGTACTGAAGGCAAAGATGACGACGAAATATATCTTTATCTCTGGTGACTAACAAGACATCCGCTAGAAGCACCAGAGTAGTGCAAGTGAGACGGTACAATAGGATATGTTCCAACAATCGGATGCATTCTCAACAGGAATTACAAGCTCCAGGAAATACTAATCACTCCTCTGTCGTTGTAACACAGACCATTCGTTTTATGTGGACGCCCTAAAACGAGTTCAGATGGTGCATCCAATTTCTCAAACTTACGACATAAACTGATCGTTGAACGGTTCAGCCGCAGCGGTGGGGTATAGAAGTGTCTGTGGGAAACTTCTGAGATTCCAGAAAACTAGAAGGAAGTCCTGTAAAATTCCCTGATCTGAAGTATCTTCAAGGTTTCATAGCTCTCAATTTCATCATTTCCTCCAAATCAAGTGATGTTCTCATTCCTACGAATGTCTCGTGTATCGTGAACCTAATCGCGAAGATGAACGCGCCCCAGCGCAATGACCGCGACGCGACCGTTCGCCCCTCGCTGATGTGAAATGTTCGTTTGGCATTTAAGTTCTTCTGACGTGACTCAAACCTCCAACAGTGTGAAGTTCTAGTGTGATTTCAGGGCTTTTGTCGGTGCTAACGTGGGGGACCACGCGGCGAGCGGTGAGTGATGACTCATCAGCTCTTCACTCATAGGCATACTTGAAGCGCGAATCTAGCAGCCAAATTAGAATGAAACAAACAAGATTCACCGGGAACTTGCTGGGAAATCCCACAGAAGCTGAAAACAACAAATATTTGATCTTTTATAGTCAAGAATCAACAAAAACGCAACAGTCATTTGTATTTTAGCAAAATCTTGTTCTCAGACCTCAACTGTTTCTTCGCCCACTTTTCAGGCCTTAGAGCGTCTCCTATTAAGCTTTTGGAACATGCATGCTAATGCGAAAGGTCGTTGAGGTATTCCATGTCCTTAAACATGAATATTACGGTTCTTTTGGTTGCCGAAGGGAAGGAGCCAGAAGAGTGCGACATCGCTCGGCTCGCTCGCCAGCGTGGTCCCCCTCCCCCCCAAATACGTTAGCACCCTTTTGTCAGCCGGATGTTTTCTTTCTGCGAGGCTCTGGGGTATTTCTCACCGGATCCCCTGCCCGAATTTTAAGGGTGAGAAATGAGTAAGAGAGAAGAAGAAGGCAAGAGAAGGATTTATGAGGCGGGAAAGAAAGGAAGAAGGCGACGTTGAGAAACCATCCCTTTAGTTACCTGGAGGATACAGCGATGCAGACTGTCTGGGACTACTTCGTCACTATTTCTTATTCACAGGATGTCCGACCTCGGGGGTTCATTCTTGACCTCAAAGCTACCATTCTACTCGCCACCTAGCTATACTAGTATGTGTGAAACGGCTGCAGAATCACGGGATAAGGATTTGTTCTTTGTGGTAACCACGATGATCGATTTGCTCAGTGAGCAAAGTTCTATAGTCATATAGTTCGATTTATGTTCAGAAAATTGGCTGCATTTTTATCGCTACTCGCGAGTCACCCTGATCTCGTCACACCGTGGATTCTTTTTGTTCGTTCACTCACTACGTCACGTCCTCGTCATATACTTCAGCGAACTACTCTACTTGGAAGACTCCGCTCTCTCCCTACCTCTCTCTGCGGCTCGTTTTTCGTTTCATTTTGTTGTCATATCGTAGATTGTGCCATTATGCAACACTTGACATTCCCTTCTTTCAGGCTTATCGGTCAAGAATATGGTTGAAGTTTCTTGCTCACATCTGTTTATACGTACTATGATAAATAAACAGTAAAGTTGTAAGGAACAGATGGACAGCTTCGCTTTCTCATCGACCCATCTGCTCGATGCGTGGCGATAAGTTTAGCCTGCATAGGTACAGAATCCACCATCACTTGGTTGTGGCCGCCAAATGTCTGTAAATAGATGAAGCTCTTCTGAAGGCACGCCAAGGGTTTAAAAGTGGGAAGTTGTGCGACTCAGACGCGAATAAACGGATAGTAAACGATTATAGTAGCGACCTGGACCTGGACCAAACCTCGCTTGTACGTGCATAAAGCGAAAAAAGGAGTGGTCGGACGTATTTGTTGGTGGCAGCTCCCCTCTCCTTATCACCTCGCTTTCACCATTCGAGATCGAGCGAGTTAGTAGCGCAAACGCGCACCATCGGGTAGGACTGAAAATTGAAGGGTGGAAGTCGCAGTGGTCAGTGGGTGGGGCCCGGTCCCGTCACTAGTGGATGACGCTTTTCTTGCGTAATTTGCAGTTTACGAACCATAACAACCGCAGAAACATAGTTTCTCAATGTTTTGAAGTTGTCAAGGGGCACACCTCAAATTCCTTGTCGGCACCCTTTATTGAGGCCGCGATGCTGCCACACGTGTTGAGATATCCGATTATTTCATCTTGCATAGAGTAAATCGAAAAGATGTGGTGTCCTTCGTATCGTGGTCTGAATTTAGGGTATTAAGTGCTTTGTTAGTTAGCTGATATCATCGCAGTTAGTCAGGGCGGTGTCAGGAAGGGCGGGATAAGTCCGCCCGAGGCTGTATTTCCACCAGTAGTGACTGGCCATCTATACAGGGAGAAAACAACCACAGATAGTTATAGAATACGCTTAGGCAGCGTTCAGCCTTCGCGACGGCAGCGCTTCAGCCGCGCGTTCGGCGCGATCGATGCGCATACTTTCTACTGCATCGATCGCGTCGAACGCGCGATCCAAGCGCTGCCATCGCGAAGTCTGAATGCTGCCTTAGGGTGAAGTCATCGCATGCCTCTTGATGCTCCCCGACTGTGACGATACCAGCGGTGGTTTAGAAAATTCTAGAAAGATTTTCTCTTTTTTCCCCAACAGAGGGTTTTCTTTTTTTTCTGAGAATCTTTAGCTATTTCCACTAGTATAGTGAAGCGGCCGACCGTACATTGCATTGATATCTTCTAGAAATTTCGATGTACAGGTAAATCCATTGACCGGATTACAGAGCTCACCAAAACCAGGCATTAAGCATGTATGTAAGCCATGATTCGCACCTAAACGATACGTATGGATCTGTTTCACCTGTGAAAGCTTAGGTTTTGCTGGCTGATGGTAGGGCGGGGCAATGAGGCTGGATTTGACGCGACGCCTACCCGTTCTCCACCAATTGTTGAAGCAGGTAAGCGACAACACTTTATGGAAAAATTACTCATTCGAAAAATATGACACAGCCTTGTCGCTTGCCCGCTTTAAGAACTGATGGGAAAAATGGTTATCGTTGCGCCAAACTCATCCTCCCTGCCCCGCCACCCTCATCCGCGGCGAACAAGGCTTTGGTAAAAAAAGACTGTAGTGAAGAGTCACCAGCTACTGAGACAAATGTGTCAACGAGAGCTGTTAGAGGTGGCCCGAGGTATTCTCCTGTGTCCACGCACTTTCCTCCAAGTATTGCCTGCAAATTTGGTCTTACATGTTCCATTCTTATATCTTGCATATTGGTAGCATCAGAGCGGTTCCTGCTGTTGGGGTGGAAGGGGGTTTTTTTGGAAAGTAGGTACTGCTCTCTCTCTCTCTCTCTCTCTCTCTCTCTCTCTCGTTCCTCTCCTTTTCTCTCTCGTCTCTCTTTCGCTGATACCCATTCTCAATGCTGCCCTGAGTTCCAAGTTCATACGACTTTGTCCCTTTTTCCGCGTAATTTTCTGCTTTTTTCAAAAAGTCTGCCAGCGAAAATGGGAGTCGC